TTTGCAAGTTCACTAACCCTTTTTTTCTGTAGTTTCCAATTTCTTCTTAAGTGCACCCCGTGAGTTTTTCGTTTCAGTTTCTTTTTTTTCTTTAAAAATTTCATTTGGTTATTTTATATATATATATTGTTTCCATTTCACTGCTGATCTTTCCCTATGTATCCACTCAATACAAACATTTTCCCTTAATTATTTGAATATATTCACAACAGTTGTTTAAAGTTCTTGTCAATTAATTCTATTACCTAGGTCATCTCAGGGTTTCTATTGCTCATTCTTTTGGCCATGAGTCACATTTTCCTATTTCTCTGCATAGCTAGTAATTTTTTAATTATGTACTTCAAAGTGTAGATGATATTTTATAGAGACAGAAGCATGTTGGTTTGGGATATAGCAGGAAGTTGGATGAATGACTGATCATCTTGTTCTTGTGGCAGCTTCAGTTTATACTTTGTTAAGGTGAATCTGTTTTGGTTATACATTAGATTTAGGGCAAATCCTAAGTCCCAGGACAAGACTTTACTCCTGAGGCATAACTCTTAGTTTTCACTGGAAAGCACAAGGTGTTTATGAAGTCCCTCTAAATTTGTGAAATTCAAGTTCCAATCTCTGTCCCTCATGTGACAGACAGCTGAAATTGCTGTTCAACTTTTTCAGATTTCCAGCTGTTATTTTCTACCAGGCTCCTTGGGGTTTCCCTTGAATATGCACATTGCAGGGATCAGGCAAGGATTTGAAGGAAGTTTATATGCATATTTGGTGTTTTGCCCATAGCTCCTTCTTTCTGAGATTTCTACCTTCTGACTCCTTCTGAGACCTCAAACTATATAACCATGTATTTTGTTTGAGTTCTAGCCACATCATACTGCATAGATTCTTAAATAACCACAGATCTCACTAGCATCATTCACTTCTTTCAAGGATTGAATAACTTTCTCTAGCTTTTGCCACTTTTTGATCATTCTCCAGTGTGTGTGTGTGTGTGTGTGTGTGTGTGTATTATTTTTTTGGTCCAGATTTATCATTGATAACTGATACAAACTACTGTACTACTTACTCTTGTAACTGGAACTTCATCTCACGAACTCTTGCTGGGTTTTCTGCATGGATTGGGCAGGACCAATCATTAAGTCATGTATCTTGGTCCTCAAAACCCAAGAGCATGAACTTTCAAATCAAAATAGTCTAACTTTATAGAGCTATTTATTTTTTACTTCAGACTCAGAGTTCTTGTTGTTCAAGCTCCAAGTTCAGTATTCCTGTACCGAATTGATTCTTTTGGCTACCTATACATAGATATTTACTGACAAATTCTGTGTTCTTTTTTTTTCTGACTTTGACTCTTGATTTCTTTACATAAGAAGTTCACCTCAGCATTTCTCAGGGTTAGAGAAACATGGTATTTGGCTTTAATTTTCACTGAATCCTCCTGGCCAGGATTTCCTGGAATTGTTCCATGACTATTCTAAGTCTTGATTGAAAACTGTGGCTGGAAGGGATAAATGGTAGATTCCAGGTGCTACTGGTTGTCTCCAAATGAGTGCTGATCCTGGAGCCAAAAGAAACACAATCCGTTGCCTGCTTTGGGGGGTATTTTTAGAGTAGTTGCAAACACATGACATTTATCTTGAGAGGTGGCCAATATTTTAAAAATAGCTAATAAAATCAATTTATAAAAGTCTTATTTCTCCATTATAAAAAAAGACTGGGCTCACTTCATTCCATTTGTGCTATGGAGAGTGTTTGAATATGGAAGAAAAACTTTTTCTGATCCCTCCCTGTCAGTCATAATAACTGAGCAAGTCTTACATTCTTACCCAGTAATTTTCATACACTGATCTCTTTATTTCTCCTTACAAACACTATGAATTCTTCAAGCGTCAGCCTTTATGTTACGTTATCCAGATAGCCTTTGATGAAAGACACTGAAGAGGATTTGAATTGCTCTAGTAGAATGTAATATTTTCAACAAAAAATCATTGTCTTATTATCAAAGTAGTAACAGTTAAGAGAATAGTCCTTGGAGTGAGACACACTCAACTTTAAGTCCAAAATCTACCACTTTTTGTGTAACGTTTGGATTTTCTACAACTTCCTTTAAGTTATGCAAGAGATAAAACTAGTCCCAAACTCATTTGGTTGTTGTGAGGATCAGATACAGTAAGGCATAAAAGGTTTGCAACAGTTCCTGCAAACAGTTTCATCATTGCTGTTATTTTCCCCCGTAGTAAAGGCTCAGTAAACAATTGCCTAAATAAGTACTTGTTGAACTGACTAAATGCTATTCTGGTGGAAGAGAAAAACACAAATTACAGAGACAAGTTAAGAGAAAAAAAAATTATAAGTTTGGTAAAGTAATGATAAGTTATGTAAAGTAGCATGGAAAGAAAAGAGCTAAGAAAGAGAATTAAAAAGGGGGTCTGTGTTAGATAGGATCAGCACGGAAGGCCTCTCAAAGGAGATAACATGTAAGTTGAGTCTTTAGAGATGAGAAGGAACTAGCCACACAAAAAATGAGGATAACAGCATTCCAGGCAGGGACAATAGCACTTACAAAGATCCTGAGGCAGACAGGCACATGAATTTTCTAAAAAGTGAAAGACCACTAGTGTGTTGGGACAGAATGAGTAAGGTCAGGGTGGCACTAGAAACGATCATACAGTAGCAGAGGCCAAACACAAAGTAACTTCCTTATAGGCCAGAGTAGAGTTTGCCCTTTTGTCTAAGTACAAAGGGAAGGCACTGAGGGGTTTTAAGCATGGGAATGACAAGATCTCTAGACCTACTCATCCATGACTCACAAAACAAACTGAAGGAGGAAGGATAAGAATTTCTGGAAACATTTAAAATGATGCTTAGAGAAACTAAGTATAAATGCATAATAAAATATTTTCCATTATGATTGAAGTTATTGATTGCTAACAATCAAAAATCCTTTTGGGATAGTAAGTGTTCATCCACTGCTCTTGCTTCTTTCACAACCGTCATGAATCCCAAGGGATACTGTGACCCACTTAAAATGGAGGATAGAGAAGAGAAGTAAATGTGCTAGGCAGGCAGGGTTAGAGTTACTGAGTGAGGCGGTCATAGTTGACAGCTATGAGGGCCCAGAATAGCACACGTCTGAGCTGTGTGGACCACATTAGATGAAAGACGACTTAGAAGATACTATGGGGTAGATTTCTTACAAAAAGGAAGGGCAGGATTCAGGTATAAAATTGGTGAGACACTGATATGAGGAATTCTTAATCGCAGGAATCAAACTGAGGGTTGTTGGAGTGGGGGGTGGGGTGGGAGGGATGGGGTGACTGGGTGATAGACACTGGGGAGGGTATGTGCTCTGGTAAGCGCTGTGAATTGTGCAAGACTGTTGAATCTCAGATCTGTACCTCTGAAACAAATAATGCAATATATGTTGAGAAAAAAAAAAGAAGAAGAAGAAGAAGAAGAAGGTAGCGGGAGGGGAAGAATGAAGCGGGGGAAATCGGAGGGGGAGACGAACCATGAGAGACGATGGACTCTGAAAAACAAACGGGGTTCTAGAGGGGAGGGGGGTGGGAGGATGGGTTAGCCTGGTGGTGGGTATTGAGGAGGGCACATTCTGCATGGAGCACTGGGTGTTATGCACAAACAATGAATCATGGAACACTTCATCTAAAACTAATGATGTAATGTATGGGGATTAACATAAGAATAAAAAATTAAAAAAAATAAAAATAAAAATAAAAAATAAAAATAATCCTGGGGGGGGGAAATGTTATCACTATAAAAAAAAAAAAGTAAATAAATAAAAGAAGTTATCGCAAAAAAAAAAAAATTGGTGAGACATTGTGAGATGCTGACATTCCAGCACCAATACTATAAGGAAACTTAAAGAAAATTAATTTATGTATCAGATAATTATCTTTAAAAATCAAGCTACCCTTAGGTTAATAGGTCTTTGCAACTATAAGCTTCTTCCTGGAATACTAGGGTTTATCTTCTCTTGAGGCTGCTTCATTCCCTTCATATTCTTTTTTTTTTAATTGCTTCATATTAGTAACACTCTTGGCACTAATTAAGACCACCACCATTACTATAATAAAGTGTTGTTATTTTCACATGATACATTGAGTAATTAAAACTATTTCCTCTCCTGTTATGCTGAGCGAAATAAGTCAATCAGAGAAAGACATGTATCATATGACCTCACTGATATGAGGAATTCTTAATCTCAGGAAACAAACTGAGGGTTGCTGGAGTGGGGGTGGGTGGGAGGGATGGGGTGGCTGGGTATGTGCTATGGTGAGCGCTGTGAATTGTGCAGGACTGTTGAATCACAGATCTGTACCTCTGAAACAAATAATGCAATATATGTTAAGAAAAAAAAAAAAGAAGAAGATAGCAGGAGGGGAAGAATTGGGGGGGAAATCGGAGGGGGAGACGAACCATGAGAGACGATGGACTCTGAAAAACAAACTGAGGGTTCTAGAGTGGAGGGGGGTGGGAGGATGGGTTAGCCTGGTGATGGGTATTAAAGAGGGCACACTCTGCCTGGAGCACTGGGTGTTATGCACAAACAATGAATATTGGAACACTACATCAAAAACTAATGATGTAATATATGGTGATTAACATAACAATAAAAATAAAAAAAAAAAACAAAAAAACCTATTTCCTCTCTTAAGGAAATTTATTCCCAAGGAAAACTTATGGGTAAGTGATGGCATGCTCATATTCCCATTACCTGTTCACTGATGACGGATTAATTTAAAAGTATACATAACAGCTGAGCTTCCATTTTTTTGGTTTTGTTTTGGGTTTTATTTAAACAACAAAACAAAATTATATTACTATGAGATAGTATGCATCACAAGAACAGCTTTGGAGTTAGTTTTGACTTTTTCTCTTCAAGGATAAAGAGTAGCTTATTAGATGTCAGCTATAATGTTCATAACAGCTAATTATCTTTCATTTTGCAGTAGCTATAATAAGTAAGAGCAAAAATGGTGAATACCTACTGTTGCCAGGTAACTGCATCCACTGTGCTTCCTGCCACCTTCATGAATCTGTACAGAACAGAAAGAACAAATAAAATAAGCTGAGGCATAGATTAGGCCAATCCTTGGGCTAAGAGCCCACAGCCACAATCAAGGTAGATCCAGAGCTACTGGAAGTTAAACTGTACAGAAGGTGAAGGTAAGGATACTTTCAGCTCTTCACACATCCTTTACCATCTGGAAATCAAGACCCCAATACAGCATGCTGTCTATGTCTGTCTTCCCAAGCCCATACCTGATGGTTTCCACATCACTTACCCCATGCACAAAACTTCTCTCTCTCATTTCCTATTCTCTAAGGACTCTGAAATCTGCTAGGAAACAAATAAACTATAACATTTCCCAAGGATGGCGACTCAATAGAGCCTTTGAAAACCTCAGCCTTCTGAAAAGACCATGGGAAAACCCAATTTAGTTATATAAGCATAAAGCACTTTCTTTTTTTTTTTTAAGATTTTATTTATTTGCGAGAGAGAGAATGAGAGACAGAGAGCATGAGAGGGAGGAGGGTCAGAGGGAGAAGCAGACTCTCTGCTGAGCAGGGAGCCTGATGTGGGACTCGATCCCGGGACTCCAGGATCATGACCTGAGCCGAAGGCAGTCGCTTAACCAACTGAGCCACCCGGGCGCCCAAGCATAAAGCACTTTCAAATATGCCCCAGTGATGGGCTGCCATACCTGAATGTAGAAACCTGAGCACCACACAGAGAAATCTTTTTTTTTTTTTTTTTTTTTTTTAAAGATTTTATTTATTTATTCATGAGAGACAGAGAGAGAGAGGCAGAGGGAGAAGCAGGCTCCCAAGGAGCAGGGAGCCCGATGTGGGACTCGATCCCAGGACCCTGAGATCATGACCTGAGCCGAAGGCAGACGCTCAACCATCTGAGCCACCCAGGCGCCCGAAATCTTTTTTTTTAATGTTTCAAGTTTTTATTTAAATTCTAGTTAGTTAACATATAGTGTAATATTAGTTTCAGGAGTAGAATTTAGTGATTCATCACTTACATATAACATAGAGAAATCTATTTCTGAAGCAGCTAAGCAGTGTCATCTGACATTTGCTCAGCTCAAAAGAGAAACCAGACCTGTTTTCTTTCAAAACACACAGCAAAACCTTGCTACTAGTTCCCTAGCCTCCTATGCTCCTGGAGGTTCTACCAGAACCAGAGCTGGGAGGAAGCTCTAAGGCCCCACAGATGCCGCAGGGTATCATAAATTGCAGGTCTGTGAATAACTCAATTATCTACTAACCTCCATTCTCACTATCCTCATGTTCTGAGGCCATGTGCTGCCACGGCTATTGTTACTATTTAAGAAAGCTACCATGCAGACACAGGAAATCAAAAGGAATATCTCAGTTCTTCAAGACTTTCCCTTCAACCCTTCAACCCTGGAAGGGAACTTTTCTACAGACAGAAACAATCTTCCATCAGTATTTCATAACCAAAAAACTCGTCCATTAGGAAGCGAGAGGGTGTTTTGTCAAGAAAGTCCTAGCCTACCCTGTGCCAGCATAATCTTGCAGGCAGACACATGGCAAAGGGGTTGCCATGTGCTGCCCAAACAGAGGCTCTGCTTTGCCATGATGTGGAAAAGTACTTAATTTTTGCAGGATTGGAAGTGAGAGAGAGGATGCCAGGACTGCTGCTTAGCATAGGAGTGAAGTTTATAAAAGAAGATGAAGAGGAAGGAGAGGAGGGAGTTGGGGGTGGGGTAGGAGAAAGAGAATGGGAGAGGAGAAGGGGAGGAGAACAAGGGATAAGAGGAGGACACGGAAGATAGGAGAAGAAGGAGATGAAGAGGAGGCAGCTTGGCTCTTGTCTATATGGTCTTGTCTTTTTTCTCCAGTACCATTCAGCAGTCAGGAGCAAGAATATGGGAAATGGAACATAAGGGTGATCAGGAATGGAACTGGTTTGATGGGCAAGACCAAAACGTAAATGGAGATTGGAGGGAATATAACATATATTGAGTACCTACTTAGTACCAGCCATTCATGTGTTATTTCTTATAATTCTCAAAACCGTTTTGCTTAGGAAGGTGGATATTATTGATTCCATTATACAGATTACTAACTTCCCTACTGGCTAGAGAAGTAGTGGCTCTAGACATCCCAAACAGCCCATTTTATGGAGTCAGGCCACCTCTCCTAGTAGCACTCCTGGGGAAGGAGGGCATGACCAGGCAAAGCCATAAATGCCAGCTGGAGTATTTCCAAAAAAGAAATATTTTATGTAAAACGATCTTAATTTACATATGAAAAACCATAATAAAAATAACACTGACATTTATAGTGCTCTATCATTATAAAATGCTTTTCAGCTTCTTATATGTATAATTTCACATAGTCCTCAAAACAACCTGGTAGGGTAGTAAATACCCCTAATTTATAGTGGAGGAGGCTGAGTCTCGTGGAGGTTATAAGACTTGCTCAAATTCATAGAGCTAGTGTGGACTAAACCCAGGTTCTCTGACTCCAAATCCAATCCTCTTTCTAGGATCCTATGCTGCCTCCAAGCTGTTTTCACTGAGGCCCAGAAGTACAGTAAAACTCTAAGATGCAAAAAATAAGTTGAACTTTTGCCTTGAGAAATACTACCAATTCATCCAAAAAAGAGAAAAAAAGGCCTGAGCACCTTTGCTTGTTGGCTTTCTCTCAGACTTGAGCATTGCAGTGCCTATTTGTAAGAGAATATGCAGGGGATCAAAGGTGACTGACCCAGGGCCTCTGCTACATGATGACCACCACAAAAAAGCCAAGAAGAGAGACAAGACAATCAGCTATCAGAGTTTCTATGTGCTATACTACTGGTACAAACCGACTGCTGAGAGATAGCAGTCAAGGGAGCAGTTAGCTCTATACCCTACAGTATTAGAAGAGGGATAAACATTGAGAAAAGCTTCACATCGCACATGACACTGAATTGGCATTAAAAGAAGGGTAAGATTTTGTCATGAAAAACAGGCAAAACAAGGTAGAGTCAAGGTGAGTGTGTTCTCAGGAGTCCATCTTGACTGGATGTCAGAAGACAGGTAAGGGAATGGCGGGAAGTCAGACTGGTTAGGTCACTAGCTGCTAGGCTGTGATGCTAAAAAGTCTGGCCTTTATCCCTTAACAACTAGGTACAAGTCCAGCTCCTATTTATCTTTGTATGACTAGTACCCAACATAATTTGCAAAATACAGCTGGCTCTTTTCATGTATATTTGCTGGATTTATCCTGTTTTTAAACAAATGAGGGGAATCAGATTTGAGTGTCAGGAAGATCACTCTGGCTGGGTAAAGCTGAAACGTGCTGGTGTGGACAAACTGGTAGGAGATGACCGCACAGAGAGGGGATGCTTGGAAATGTAAAAATGAAAAAAGACCCATTGAGTAACACTGATGGAGCACTCAAGAGGATTTGGTGGGTGAGTCTGAGTTGGGCAAGAGGGGAAAGAGAGGAGCCCAAAGTTTTAATTGTAGTAATGCCATTGCCCAAGATGGGCAACCCAGGAACAGACTTTTGATGCTGATGTTGGTGAATGTATTCCAATCTTCTTGAATATGCCTTAAAGAACTTGAAATAAATAGTCACTGATGATAATAGCTATGCATTTAAAAGAAAATAAGGAGGAAAAAAAATCATTAATGTCCTGCTTGGCTAAAAGGGTCTGGATAGGCAATTAAGAACACATCTAATATGTCATTTGCAAATATCTTCTCCCATTCTGTCGGTTGTCTTTTGGTTTTGTTGACTGTTTCCTTTGCTTTGCAAAAGCTTTTTATCTTGATGAAGTCCCAATAGTTCATTTTTGCCCTTGCTTCCCTTGCCTTTGGCGAGGTTTCTAGGAAGAAGTTGCTGCAGCTGAGGTCAAAGAGGTTGCTGCCTGTGTTCTCCTTTAGGATTTTGATGGACTCCTATCTCACATTGAGGTCTTTCAACCATTTGGAGTCTATTTTTGTGTGTGGTGTAAGGAAATGGTCCAGTTTCATTCTTCTGCATGTGGCTATCCAAATTTCCCAACACCATTTGTTGAAGAGACTGTCTTTTTTCCATTGGATATTCTTTCCTGCTTTGTCAAAGATGAGTTGACCATAGAGTTGAGGGTCCATTTCTGGCCTCTCTATTCTGTTCCATTGATCTATGTGTCTGTTTTTGTGCCAGTAGCATGCTGTCTTGATGATGACAGCTTTGTAATAGAGCTTGAAGTCCGGAATTGTGATGCCGCCAGCTTTGCTTTTCTTTTTCAACATTCCTCTGGCTATGCGGGGTCTTTTCTGGTTCCATACAAATTTTAGGATTATTTGTTCCATTTCTTTGAAAAAAGTGGATGGTATTTTGATGGGGATTGCATTAAATGTGTAGATTGCTCTAGGTAGCATTGACATATCAGATAAAGGGCTAGTATCCAAAATCTATAAAGAACTCATCAAACTCAACACCCAAAGAACAAAGAATCCAATCAAGAAATGGGCAGAAGACATGAACAGACATTTTTCCAAAGAAGACATCCAAATGGCCAACAGACACATGAAAAAGTGCTCAATATCACTCGGCATCAGGGAAATCCAAATCAAAACCTCAATGAGCTACCACGTCACACCAGTCAGAATGGCTAAAATTAACAAGTCAGGAAACAACAGATGTTGGCGGGGATGCGGAGAAAGGGGAACCCTCCTACACTGTTGGTGGGAATACAAGCTGTTGCAGCCACTCTGGAAAACAGTATGGAGGTTCCTCAAAGAGTTGAAAATAGAGCTACCCTATGATCCAGCAATTGCACTACTGGGTATTTACCCCAAAGATACAAAAGTAGGGATCCGAAAGGGTACGTGCACCTCGATGTTTATAGCAGCAATGTCCACAATAGCCAAACTGTGGAAAGAGCCAAGATGTCCATCGACAGATGAATGGATAAAGAAGAAGTGGTATACATATACAATGGAATATTATGCAACCATCAAAAGGAATGAGATCTTGCCATTTGCAACGACATGGATGGAACTGGAGGGTATTATGTTGAGCG